GATGTACTACATATCAATCACGATAACAAGGATTGAAATATAATAGTAATATTTTTGAAAAATTGAGAGAATTTTTATATTCTAGTATTTACACTTTAATAGATTTACATTTTTGCTGATAATTTAAATCTCAATTTAATAAAAATTCAGAACGTACAAATAAGCTGCAAAAATAATTTCAATTGGCCATGAAACGTTTGGAACAGCTCATTTCAACGCACCGCATGCATTACCTCGCTTATAATTAAATTACCGGTTTAAGGATCACAAAACGCAAATATGAAAAATACATTTACGTAATCTACGAAACAAATCATCGCACTGTAATGTCTAACAATGTCTAAAAGCGCATCATGTGCTGAAAATAAAAACTTGGCTATAAACAATTATTTTTCAAAGTCGAATAGAGATTACAATTTTTTTTTTAAACACCAGTATTAAATGATTATTTAAATATGTTAGTAATGTATTTTTTATCATTTTTTGTTCAATTTAATATAATTTTTTCCATATCGTCCGTCACCATCGACGATTCTTTTTCAATTTTTTTCAAATATTTTTGAGTCATAATACTTCCCACCCATTTTCTCACGGTTCCTGTTATAAGTATTTGCTTCAAAAAATCATTCAAACTGTCCACGTGAAACACAAATTGTTGTTTGAATAAATTTGTATTTTCTTCATAAGGTGGAAAGGATAGTTTTTCCATTTCTCTTTTTAAAAGCTTGATTGTTTCAATATAGAATCTGTCATCCCTTTCATCTGAATAGTAATCTTCTGTTCCTTCGATTAAGGGGCTTATTCGAGTAATTAAATTTTTGAATCTTTGGTAAACTTTTTCACTCTCGCACAGCTCCTCGACCTTTATGGATATAAGATAATCATTGGTACGGAAAACGGCCATGTTAAAATCATCAGGAGTACTTATGTGCGTTCCCGGAACGTAACTGTAGATTTTGCTGAAATAATCTGTTTCAAATTGATGATAGTTAACGATGCGTAATTTACTGTTGTTAAAAATATACATTTATGTAATATCTTACCGGATCCAAATGAACTCTTGAAAGTGTCGAGATCGCTCACGACACGCTTCCTTGGTGTCATTATAAAATCCGATACTAATTCATGCTCCTCCTCGTTTAGCTTGTAACCTCGAGATTCCAAAATCTCAATGGTTTTGAGAAGATCGACGATGGCTTTGTAGTAGCCAAAGGCAGATCTTTTGCGTTGGAACGTCTGCCTCTGGAAGCGGACGATCTTAAGATCAGCTTGACAATTCAGAAGCAGATCGACGGCTCGATAATTGAAATTATTCATCGCGACCTGCAGTGGCGAATCGTTGTACAAATCCGGAGCATCGACCGGGGCTCCTTGTTCTAGCAGAAATTCGATAATAGCCACGCGATCCTCGTCCCACCTCACGACTTCGATGTAAGGGAGTAAATTGATTTCCTCTCGGTCGGAATCGAGGATAAAGTGTATCAAGGTTTGTCCCATTCTATTGGTCGCAGCCAAGTCGGCTTTAATACAGCCCGCTTCGAAGTTGGGAGTGCGGACGAGTATTTTTAGCAGCGCCAACACAGCCACTGGACGCATCCTAAAGTCGGTCAGATAGAAATTCGTATTGTATAAATCGTAAACAGCTCTCATGAGAGCGCAGAACATGGGATTGTTTCCAAAGCAGTCCGTGGCATTGACGTTGGCTTTGGCTTTGATGAGACAACGTACTATTTTCGTCGCGCTCTGGAAGTAAGGATAACTGTCCCTTATCTCGTAGCAAAGCTTGTGCAGAGGAGTTCGATCGAATAAGGCGGTCACGTTCGGGTTGGCCCCGTGCAGCAAAAGCGTCTGGACTGCTTCCCATCGAGTGTAACGTAGGGCCAAAAACAGAGGATAGCTCAACTCGTGTTTTCCTTCGACACGTAGATTAACGTTGATGTTAGCATCGGTAACGAAGTCTCCGATCAAATGGTCCTGCCCGGCCATACACACTGCGTTGAATTTATCTACGATATCTTGCTGAGCGTAGATAAGGTTTTTTACGAACCACATAATGTCATCGGCTTCGATGATTCCACACGCCGTAGCGATGTGATACGTTAAATCTCCCAACTTGTTGAAAATATCGATGCTGATCGATTTGTCCGAGAGCAATTTGATGATGTAAGGACAGGCTCGTTCAAAATCTAACTTCAAAATAGATTTACATTTTAATAACTTATCGAAGAATTCTTCACTTTGTTTGACTGAATTGGCCTGCTTCATCAAATAACTTTGTGTCATGTAAAGGCCCTGTCGTATCCATTTTTCAGTTTCTTCGACTGCGCCAAGAGTTTGACGATTTATCAGAATTTTCACCATCTCGAATTTAAGATGAAATAAAATAACCGTGGATCACGATGTTTACTGAATAATCTACTTGCACAATTTACACTGATTCGCGTTTGAGGTTCTGTTCCGGTAACGCGATTGAAATTTAGAGCGGTTAGTTGTACCTACTTATGGTAGCGGCTGTGTGCGATAATATTGATACTTGCGGCACGAATGACCAATTCAAGCATCTTTCGATGAAAATTTACGATATTCATAACGTAAACAAAAATAAATAGCGTCTTGTGGCAAGAATCATTCATTAAATCGTTCGTGTGAAACCAATCAATATCATAACACGAGTAAATAAGGTTATTTCGCCGAAATTTTCACAAATCATTCAGCACAAAATACAGCTGGGTACAAGATATATCGATTACATTTTTTTGAGTTGTACAAGGGAGGTACCTAGCGCCAAGACTTGTACGCGCCCTCGATAATCTCACATTCTTCTTTCATTATGATAATATCCAATTAATTGCAAATGCCGTTACAACATTTGAAACTAAATCAGCGATTCGATGCCTATAAAGCACATAAATTTCGACGTAATTCGCTCTCGCGCGCGCACGTATTATATTTATAATCAAGCGCGTTATATACAGATTAAAAAGTCAGGCGTGACGACAATCGCGCGCAAAAGTTTCCCATCCCCGTTTCTCGCGAAAATCAAGCGCTATATATCGCGAGCTGCGTATTATGTGTACGGTCGACGCAAAATTCCGTTCTTTTACCGAGTGTGCCGTGCGCGAGCATAAAGCGCCTGCGTTTGTGCCATATCCTAATCTGCGCCTCGCGATCGTAATTGTATTTTTACGTCGTCGTCGGCAGCGCGCGCGGATCCTGGCCTGATACATTATACCCCCGTATACCGCAAATGCAAGCGCGTGCACTCTGACGCTGAAAACTTCTGCATCGCTAATTTGCGCTTAATAAGATGAGCGAGCGCGTGCATCTTCGGAGAAAGAGACAGATGGACTAATTTACGCTAATAACTATATATACGCAACTTCTGCCTGTATGGATGAAAATTTATGTACACGATGTATTATGGATTTTTGACAAAATTAATAATTCTGAATGTTCAGAAAAATAATAATTAATTGTTGTAGTATATAAAAAAAATTGAAGCAATCTAAAAAATAAACAAATAAATAAATAAAAATATATTAAGGAGTACTCTACACGCAAGAGATGTATCACTCAAAAGAGAGCGAGCAAAAGATATGAAAGTTTGATGTGACTTAATTGAAGATATATTGTGTGTGTGTGTGTGTTTGTTGGATGCGTGCGTGCACGAGGAGAGAGATCAAGAACGTCGCGTGGTAATTAAAATTGTAAACCTCATAAAAAATTCATGTTTTATGGCGTTTTAATTGATGCGCGTATAATTTTTCGAGGGCTCGTGCGGATTTAATTATGTTGTAGCTGCCGTTGCCTGATGATGATGACTCGGCTCGAATCTGGAGCGGGTAACGTACATAAAACCGCGTGCAGTCGATCCTACGTGATATTTTGTTCATCACGACGAAATCACTCGTAGCTTTTGAAAAAAGGACTCGGTATACGGAATCGGTCGTCGAGCGCCAAAGATACGCCAAACGCCATAAGGCACGACGAGGAGCTCTAGCTGCGAGGCATCCTCCCGTGAGCGTACGCGCTCATGGAGCTTTGAAGAATTATTAGACGAATTACGAGCGTGCGATGGCAATAAATGAATTACAACGTCGGAAGCGTGCCCCCATAATGTCCGGGAAGTTTACGGTTTCTCAAAAGTTTAATTGGGCATGGTACTCTCTCTCTCTCTCTCTCTCTGGATTGGTGGACGAGTCCAAGCCTTCGGGTGACCAAGCTGCCACGAGACTGGAACGGACAGAAGATCGTAGCGTCTCAAAACTGCGTGCACTTCTCGGGCTATTAAACTCGGACCAACGGTTAATGTATATAAGAACAAGTGTCAAAAGCACACCACGCTCTCTCTCTCTCTATTTCTTTTCTATTTGTTCGATTAAAAAATTAAATATCTCTTGGGTGAAATTTTCGTTCAAGACTGTAATATACTCGAGCAAAAAATGAATGGATAAAAATACCGATAAGACCGAGACAGAGAGAAAAGTTATCGGCTAAAAGCTTTCACCGTGTAAGTAAGTTTAGAAGCTCGTGCACCTGTTTTCTCGCTTTTTCCTTTTACATCGTTCTCTCGCGTTCGCTCGTGCCAGCGTTATAGGATAAACAGCGTTCTCTGGCTCTAGCTTCTTTTTTTTTCGTTTTCTTTTCAACTTGTCCTTTTTCTTTACATGCTACACCTCATGCATCGGCTCGAATTTAATCCTACAACAGAAAAAATACGTAAGCAAAGTTTAGCAGGGGCTCGATCTAATCAAGCTTTTACAGTACTATTATTATTGCCACATACTTTAAAGCACGGTGGACCCTTACTACGCTAGATTTAGCTTGTCTCGTTGTTGTATGTGTAGTGGCTAGGCTCTGTAAAGAGAAGCGCATTAGCTTCTAAACCCAAAGTTCGAGCTCGCTCGCTCGCGCGATCATATCGCTCTTTACCTAAGACTACGTATAGGCTGCCGCATGCGCACGCTTAGACAAGAAAAGGATCTCGTCCCCTCGGCACCCTCAAGTACACAAGTTTTCACTGCTGCTGCTGCTGCTGCTGCTGCTGCTGCTGCTGCTGGTACCGCAGCCGTGCTGATGACTATAGCAAAAGGATAACGGCTGTTTAATGCACATACATAGAGACTCTGCTCCGGATAATGAAGAGTATAGAGCCCTCTGCATACGCAGGAAAAAAAAAACTGTTAACACTCTTGCGAGTTGCTGCTCGGTGTATATAGGTGCGCGCATGCATCCTATGCAGCACGCAGACATGCACGCGGGTATAGCTTACAGCTGCAATTAAGAAAAGATCGCGCCTGAAACTCGCGCGCTATGGGAGAAAGAGCACCGAGAGACAGGCTTATATACGCGTACACGCATGCTCGTCTCTCTTTTCTACCCAGCTATCTCATTGTACTACCCGTGTGGGTGAGCATACAGCCGAGCATACCCATATATACAGTACTTGTATATGGGTGGGGTCGCGCACCTCGATGCCCTCTGCGTACATGTGCAGTTCGGTGTGTGTGTATATAATATACCTCGGCGATGCTCTCGGTTTAATACGCGGGCGTTTTGGCCCGGGCTACACCCAGCCGGCGTCGTCAACTCGTACGTGTAAAATTTTTCGGAGCGGCTCTCGCTTTTAGGGCGCGTCTACTCGCGTTCGGTGCCTACATTGACATCGTGCGCGCGGCCCGAAGAATTCGAGTCCCTAAAATGGTCTCGACGACGCGACATATCGCCCATAATTATATCGTCCAAATTTTCCACTCCTCGTTTATTTGGCGTCCGACTGCGTGGACTCGACGCAGTCGTGTATCCTGGATAAGGTGCTACAGGAATATTTCTCGTCCGATTCGATCGCTGCACCGGGTTCGCGATCTTCGCATAGAGCAGCTGCACGTAACGCGATCGAGGTCGCGAAAACAGTTCGCGCACAACAACATGCGTACTCGAGCTGCGCACGTACAGCCGCGATACATCGCATGCATTTTTTGACTGCGGATCGTGATGCGTGTAACGTTGTGTGCGTGTGCGTGCCTGTACATATATATATAATACGTGTGTTACACTCGTGTAGAGTACCGGGGAAAGGCCGTGCACTCTTTAAACCTCGGGTATGCACCGCTCCGAGTAACGATAGAGAGAGAGAAAGAGAGAGCAAGAAGACGCCTCGCGTAAGTCAGCACTCGCTTCGCAGGATATTTCGTCATTTCCTGCTTCTCACGCGATACAATCTAAATTAACTATGTACGCCTGGCTAGGTCTTCTCTCTCTCTCTCTCTCTCTCTCTCTCTTTCTTTGACTCCCCTTGCGCCCGCGTCGCTCTTCTTCCTCCTACACTTTAAGAACCTTTGCTCAGCACGTCGCTTTATAGCGTTCGCCAATACACACGAGCTATATGTATTCTGATCTCCGCTATGTCGACGACCAACTTGTGCACGAGTTAAACATTCCAAGCAGGTCAAATACGAATATAAAATATATCACACTTGGTAATACGTATCGCGCATGGTTCCGAAAATCAGATGCATTTACATACTTGTGCCGATCGCGCGATCCCGAAACGATATCAGTACATAAATCGGTAAAAATAAATGTTACTCTCGACCGGCAAAGCTTGGCCCTTTAATTTGCTGAATTTTCTTTCACCCCGCTTTCCCGTATATCACCGGCCGAGAGTCTAGCGAGGAGAGGATCTCGAGCTGTATGAGCGCGCTGTGCGACCGGAAGTGCGAGCTGGAAAAAGAGATTCGTGGAAGGCGCGCGCTCGTTCGAAACCATCCGCGCGCAGGCCCATGAGCACTCGCGAACCGAGCCACATTATCCCCGAGCCGACTTTAAAAAGAAGAGAGTGAAAGAGAGAGAAAAAATAGGCGCGATCTCTGCGACTTTCAAGCTCTCGCAGCTGTATTATATATATATACGCGCGCGCTCCAGCACTAACGGAGATGTATACTTAAATGTTAAGAAAAGAGAGAAGGAGCAGCGCAATTACGAGTAACGGACGACGGCCGCCGGCGATAATGTCAGATTAAGGATGCGCCGAGCTTACGAAGCCGAGACACCACCGAGTGCAGTCTCGTGCTTGGCGCACGTATCGCTCGAGCTCGTTGTGGTTTTTGACACGCTTACATCACGGAGCTACGCCGTATATATATTGTACTGAACCTACAACGATTTCTGTATTTTTCTCTTTCGCAGCTTATATACGTAGGCGCGAGACTTCCTCCAATTTCCCTTCGACCGAGGATTTTCCGATTTTAATGTGGCAGATACATTACATTGTACTTATATATATATACGAATCATCAGCGAGGAAGTAACAATATAATATCGGTCGATAATACCGTTGCTGCAGCTCGTTGAAGTGTATTTTCCGAAATGCCCCTTCAAATGATTCGACGTTGTTCCAGCGAGGGTAATGCATACCGATTTTTGCGCAGTTCTTGGCAGTTCGCACTCGTATGATAAACATATCGGAACTAGCTGCTGTAATATCGGTTATTCTTCGACAACGTTAGCCTATGCGTCAATTCAAACATGAA